AACCCTTGCTAAAACCCTTGAATTCTCCTCTCAAAAAGTGCTTTGTATGTTCTGTGTGTGTAAAAATGACCCAATTCCCGTGATATGAAAAATAGGAAAAACTGCCAAAAGACAGTTTTTGGGTCGAACACGGCCCGTGTCAAAATAGGCTAAACTGACACGGGTCGTGTTCATCAGTCAACACGGCCCGTGTTGATTTGCACTAAACTGACACGGCCCGTGTTCAGCATGGTCAACAGCTTCTTCTTGGTCAAACACGCCCCGTGCTCACTTTTCAGTGTAAATCCAACACGACCCGTGTACCCCTCTGACTCCGAATCCAAACTTGATTTTTCCAACTTTTCCGTTCTTCGTCCGATCATCCCGAAATCTTTACCACTGCTTCCCGGCACCTCCCAAAGCGCATTCCAAGCTCCGGTTTACCTGAAAAAGACATGAAAGTGTGCAAATAAGGTTGTTCTAGAGACTAACATGAATATGATGAAATGCAAGAAAAAGGAAGAACAATTATGCTAAATAGATGCATGAAATGGGACTAAAAGGTGTGCAAAAAGGTGCACAAATTGCACCTAACAGTGTCAGAAGCGAAGGTGTCAGAAGCGAACTACACCCTCTCGGACCGAAGCTCAGCAGACCGAACCGAACCTCGGACCTTCGGTCCCTCCCCCCTCGCACCTTCGGTCCCCTTCTCTACTCTCGGTCCTTCCTTCCCTTCTCTCGGTTCTCACTCCCTTAGAGCCGAACATCGCAGGTTCGGTCCATATTGCCGGTTTTTGACCCAAACTTCGTTTTAAGCTCGTTTTTCGTGATTTTAACGCGAGATTTTCACCCAAACTCGTATTTTAACATAATAAACCCTAAATATTCATTTTTAATCATATTTTTGGGGGAAATCCTTGTCCAAGAATAAAATCTATTAAATTAGATTTTGGGGTAGAGTGTTGACTTTATCTAGAGTAAGACACAAGCAACCTCCCCCATACCTTCATGGTACAACCCTCAGTCACTATTCCCCCTACCTAGTCAACTATTTGTCCTTTGACACCCCTCCTCCAGCTATAAAGGTTCACCAAAGGCTGAAAATCTCCTCTCTCCTCCCATTTCACTCACTTTCCACCAAAGAGCAAACATATTTCTCTCTCACTCTCCTCTCCAAATTCTCGAATTCTCCAGGAGTTCTAAGGCTTCTCATATACCTTGCTAAGTAAATCTCTTCCCATACTTTATTTCCTTACATTTCATCACTCAAATCATGAGTTCCTTACACAAATATCGTCATATTTGTTGTTAGATCTTCGAATCTTCAAGCATCTTCTAAAGTGTTCTTGAGTTGAACACTTCTTTTCTTCATCATCCATCTTCTGAAATCACTCAAGGTGTGTTCATACCCCTACATTTTTATGTTTTCTTCAAGTTTTATGGGGAATACAAGTTAAAACACCAAGAACACAACTAAACTCAAACAACAGCTTTCATCAGAAAAGTTGAGTCTTATTCACAGACTGTTTTGACTATCTTAAACTTAATAACATTCAAAACTGTTTAATATGCAAATATTTCAGGTTCATACCTTTAAAATGACTACTTGCACATCTCCATACGATTTTTCTACGATTTATGGTGATTTTTACAAAACTGCCTATCATTTCAGAAACGAATTCGGACCAGTCTGTGAATATGAACATTTTAACACGAGTTAAAGACTTCTAAAAATCATAATAAAAATTATTAATAAACTAGACACATTTTGTGAACTCTCAGAATTTACGGATTCAGTTTTCAACTTCGTATGATTTTTCTAAAACAGTGTAGAAAGGTTAAAAACTAGTTAACAGCTTACAACTTTCATAACACTTTGTAGTATATTGAGCAAAGTGTATAACCATAAGTTCTAAATATTGAATGTATTTTCTTGTTAGTTTATCATCATAAACTGAAATTTAGTCATTCATGATAAGGTTTCTTCATTCATTTCGAACACATATAATAAACTACAATAAGCATAGTTTATGGATTTTTACTACATGAAAAAGGTTTTACTCTCAAAACAAATAGGTTTTTCATATACTACATGATAAACTATAATAGTAATAGTTTAAGGATTTCTTATCACTAATTTAATCATAAAAGGTGATTTTACTTCCTCCACGGAAGAGGTTTTAATATCAAACTATGTGTAAACTAGTTAACTTAGGTTGTGAGGCAATTCTCTCCCCGTACGTTCGAGTACGGGATCCCAATTCCTGTAAGTTATAACTAGGGGTGAGCATGATGCGGTTTGGTGCGGTTTTAAGGCCAAACCGAACCGCAAACCGCATGGTGCGGTTTTTGCATTCTAAAAAACCGTTGGGTACGGTTTTGCAATGGTTCGGTTTTTCGGTTTTTAAATGCGGTTTCGGTTTGTGTCGGTGCGGTTTCGGTTTTAAACCGTGTATAGAATTTGGTGCAGTTTTTTATGTTTTTTAGTGCGGTTTTTTAAAACTGTATGAATTGAAAACCATGTGCATGTAATTGAAAGTTGGTTGATTTTGACTTAATTTGTTACAAGATTATTTCATGTAATCGATTAGTACGTCTGACTAATAATAGAACATTTCTTTTGCACCCCATATAGTCTTACACAAACACAAAATAAACATATAATAAATATATTATCGTTTATAAATATTTTAAATAGCATGTATATAATATACATTTTATTGATTTATTACTATACACGCTTGCGGTGCGGTTCGGTTTTGGTGGACCGGTTTTTTGGATAGAAACTGCACCGCACCGTTGACCTTCGGTTTTTGCAAAAATTAAATCCGCACCATAGGCTTTTGCATCGGTTTCGGTTTTTCGGTTGCGGTTTATTGCGGTTTTTTCGGTTTTTCTTTAGTCGGTTCGGTTTTTGCTCACCCCTAGTTATAACCAGAGTCTCTTGTAGGGAGAGCGTGATAATTGTGTATAGATCTATATTGGGATTGACACCCCACATCTCCTTTCTAGCTACAGCCGGACCGGCAGGTCTGCGGGTGACAAGAGTCATAGTATCTTAACGTCTGAAAAACGTTGTGCAGGTTATTTCTCGTCATAGTATGGTTATAGCGACTCACATAGGGAGTTAACAATCTTTCGAGTTTACAAGAAAAATTTTACTTTGAAAAGGGTTTTTATCTATTTAAAACTACAAATACGTTATAAGTACAAAACACACACTCATACTCTCGGTCCTAGGATTTAGGACTACATGACTTTTTGTAAGGAAAATATTGGATTTTCTTTGGAAACACATTACTATTACAAACATTATAAGTACAAAACACACTCATACTCTCGGTCCTAGGATTTAGGATTACATGACTTTTATAATGAAAATATTGGATTTTCTTTGGAAACATATTTATGTTAAAACTACATTTCATCTAGAATTGTTAGACTTCAGCTATAATTGCTAAGTGTATATGCTAGAGTTATATAAGAATCTAGTCACAATCGACTTAGAATTGGTGGGCCCGCCTTACTTCCTGTTCCTTGTTTGGTTGTGGACCTAGGGCAGACCCATTATATTCGACGGTTTATTTAACTTAAATTTTATATAACTTATATACGCTGGGTGATTATAGAAGGAATCTATGGGTCCTTCTAGGGTACATTATCACATAACATAGGAGCATTCATTTTACACTTAACAAAGAAAATATTGGATTTTTCTGGAATCATACTCTATCGCTTTTACAAGAAAAACGGCTTTTTCCTCAAACAAAATTCTCATGAACTCACCAACTTAATTGTTGACACTTTTCAAAACTACTTGTATTCTCAGGAAATCAGTGAAACAGGAAACCAACAGCATTTTGAGGATGAGACGTTAAATCGTCAAACAGTTCATTTTGTCATCATAATGTAATTGATTTTGAAACATGTAACCATATACTATGGTGTAACCTTTTCAATTATATTTATGATGGTTGTATTTACTTTGAGCACTATTATACTCGTTGTTGTGATACTATACATGAAGTCCTCCACCCCCGGACGTTTCCGCCATCCTTGGTTTGGGGGTGTGACAAACAACAATGGAAAGCCCGGATCTAAAGCTTCTCCCTTCAACTTTGCACCACTAACTTCAAGCTCCTTCAAGAAAAGCATCAAAGGATACTCTTTAAGCTCACACACACTCAAAATGGGGAAAGAGGCACGATTAGGGTTTTCTATGGACTGAGGGGGCGGTGAGGGAGGCTAACAATGAGAGTTATGACCTTTAAATAGGGTGTAAACCCTAAAAATTAGGGTTTTCATTTTCAGCCTTGAACTCGTCGAGTTGGGGCCTTCCAACTCATCGAGTAGACATTGAAAGATACGCGACATTAAATACTCTACACGACGAGTTGGAGCCTCCCAACTCGTCGAGTTGCCCTGAAAATGGATATACATTAAGCTTTAACTTCATACCTGCGAATCGGGGTGTTACAGGTGCTTTTTGCACATCTGCTTGAGAAGACCTAATGTTCACCCTAAAGCCAAGACTAATCAATGCTTGCTTCTTAATAGTAAAAATATTTCACCGCATGTACGTAAAATGTAATGTTGATTTACCGCAACGAGAGTCTTAAAAAATATTTATCATGATCACTGATTGTCTTTGCTCTCGCCTGCATTATATATATATATATATATATATATATAATGATAACTAAATTACCTGCCGAAAGGGCACCATAAGGCCAGCTTTAGCACTTGACTGCCGAGGTGGTAGACACATCAATTCACGACTCCCTTCAAGAAAACTCCGACATACATAAAATTCATGTTTTTCATTAACCTTAAATATTATATATATATATATATATATATATATATATATATATATATATATGAATCATTGATCCATTACCCGGTCAAAATCACATTTTGCTAGAAGAAAATAATATTCTATGGCTTTTAAATGCCCATTTAGACCGGTACGAACAACCACAATCTGAAAGTTTGGATGGAAATTGTAAAATGTTTGACGCTTACTGACTGATGTAAAGACAAATAAAAACATGCCACATGTCCACCTGCCAAAGATAACTGGCTGCACTAGCTCTGATTGAACCAATGGCCTCTTCAAATGATCTTTTGTGGAACTCAGATGACTCCTGTCAAAATACAATGTACAACTTTCGCTGAAAAAATATATTTTTTTTTCATAAGGATGAATAAATACATGTAGATTTTTGAACATTGAATCAATCTTACCAGCCTCTGATTGTGGCAGTAGTTCATCTCCTAATGTTGTATTCAAAGAGTGTTCCTTCTTTAAAGATTTTTTAAATGTTTGTGGGTCTGTTGTCTGATGAGACAACACATCCACATATCGGAATGAAGAACTTGGATTTCTAAGAACCCTAATTGCTTTTCCAGAAAAAAGAATGGATTCTGCTACACACACCGGTAACATCTCCTGAACGAAAAATGTAGGAAATTAACAAATTCTTTTGAGTGTAAGATTCATTTTTAAATATAAAATACAAAGTATGGCATACCAATAAGATATTTAATCCCATGTACCAATCACTTATAGATCCATCACCAACAAATTTGTGTGCCATCTTTTGTAGTTTGTCGGTATGAGACGATTCATGCTATAGATTTTTTTGTTTTTGCCTAAAAACACTAAAACCAACATCCTCTTTTATAAATCCACCTACTGTATCGCATTGCTCCATAGCTATGTGAGAAAATTGCTTACCTGCTGATGAAAAGTTCTCCATATTGTTCATGAAGAATCCCATATAGCACCTAATATGTAGGTTGGTTGTACATGACTAGATGTCAAAGCATACGAAGCCTATGTGTACAACATAAATAAAAATAAATAAAAAAGTTGATTGTACATCACCTGAAAAAAAGTTAATAAGATAATATGTAATAGATATCATATCGTTGAACACATGTTTGAAGCTCTGGGACCCCACAATGGCATCGTTTATGTAGAAGGTTAAGAAGTTTCCCTCCACAGATACCATCACGCTCAATTTCTAGAATCAGCTCATAAAGAGGCGGAAAGAAAAAAAGAAACTATCATAACCATCCATTAATGAGAGTTCAAAGACCATAAACTACAAAAAAGGAACTTAACTAAACCTTATTGAGGCCTTGAGTAAGTGTAGCTAAGATGGGTAGAGAATGAGACAACAATTTCTGTTCAACATGCAAAACAACAGATCTGTAAATTGAAAGAATTTCGGCTATGCCATTTGCAATAGCCCTCCTATAAACACTCTGATTGTCGCTACTTTCTTTTGGTAATTCAGAAGTGTGTGATAAAGGAGACACGTTCCGAGACCTTACTCAGCTTAAATTCTGAGATTTTGTGACAAATCGATCGAGTTTACGGTAGTAAAACCCCAACGTGATTATCTTCTCAATGATGTCCCTGCATTTCAATAACAACCACTCTTTACAACAATAAGAACAATTCGGTAACTGTAGATTTCATCTAATTATCAGTTTGAACACACGTGCAAACACATTGTTCCATTGTATACATAAGGATAGAATCCAATTTTAGGCTGGTTGTAAATCTCTTCTTTTTCCTTCCATTCGGGAATTGTTCACAATGTTGCATCGGGATGTAAGGGAGACGAAAATAACTATGCATTTTCCACTCTTCTCACTCAAAGGATTAGATCAATCATCTTAATGATGTTCAGCTCATAGTTCTAATTCTTAAAAGTTGATCAATGTTAGGTATACATTATAATAACCTAGTGGTCGAAAAAAAAAGAAGGGAGAGCATCAGAGTATAAGAAATACCTCTCCTCGAGTTCAATAAAGGAGATGTAGGAGCAAGCTTGAACGTACATTGGTTGGAAAGGGAGTTGCCCGATGACAAACCAACGGATTCTTGGCGTTGCCTCTCATCAATAATTAGGTCTCCAGTGTACCCTAACACTCTTACAGGCCAGTAGGAGTTCGTGTAGCATCTCGAACCACCAGTTTCTCAAAATGAGATACTGAATTTGCTTAGAACGTTGGAAAATTGAAGACAATCGACGCCAACTAACTGAATTTCAAAAATGGAGGTATTTTTTCAAATATTGTGGCACGTAAAGCAAAAACGGGGCACGGACCAACTATTGAAGGGACTTATTTTTCGGGCCTTTGAGATTTACCATTACCAAGTTTAGCACGTTTTGAAGAATGTATGTGTGTTATTATTATTATTATTATTATTATTATTATTATTATTTTTACTTCATTAGGTAGTGTCTAATTTTGAAACGGCAACAATATGCAATTCGCGTAAGATCTTATACAAGAGATTTTTTTTTACTTCATTAGGTAGTGTCTAATTTTAAAACGGCAACAATATGCAATTCGCGTAAGATCTTATACAAGAGAAGGTAAATAGACCAAAATTTTAAAACAACTAATGTAATTAAAATGCTTTACAAATTATAACAACAGAATAAGCCTATACAAGTTGAGGACTAACACAAAATGATCACTCCACAATCGACATATTGTAAAAGAGAAAACTGTAAAAATGTTATTTTCTTATTTAATAAGCTATGTGTGCGTGTATTCAAATCTTATTGACAATAATTTAAAAGATTCAGGTAGGTTGGATGAATATTTGTTAATTATTAAATTTACCATCAAACTTATTATTTTGTGATGTAACATGATAATGTTATTAATCAAACTTATTATTTTGTGATGTAACATGATAATGTTATTATACTTACTAGTTGTGAAATCCATGTATTACATAAGTTAATTAAAAAAAAAAAAAAGTTAAATATGAATGTCTAAATATTTGAGAACTTTGAATTTATAAGAAAATAAGAAAAATAATGAATTTTTAAAATTGAAATATTTTTTATCTTTTAAATTTAAAGAAATAATTTAAATAAATAAACAAAAGAAAGTAATGAACTTTAATTTGAAATTTTTTAAATTAGAAGGTAAGCCATTAATAAAATTGATATCTATTTGTTACTACATTTATCGTAATTATTATATTAAAATATTATGTGCAATTTAATAAATTAGGAAAACCGATAAAATGACATGTGAAAAAAAATTAATTCAAAATAACCACAAAATGACATTTGACAAAATGAATGAGAGTGTGACATGTGACACAAAAATCTTCATTTATTAGAGTAGACTAGTTGTGAGACTCATGTATTACATGAGTTAATTTAAAAAAAAATTAAATATAAAGGTCAAAATATTTAAGAACTTTGAATTGATAAGAAAATAAGAAAAATAATGAAATTATTATAATGAAAATGTTTTTTATATTTTAAATTTAAACAAATAATTCAAATAAACAAAGAAACTAATGAGCTTGGGAATTTTGAAATTAAAATGTAAGTTTATTAATGAAATTAATATTCATTTATTACAACATTTATTGTAATTATTACATTAAAATATTATGTGGAATCTACTATAATAAATGAAGATCAAAACTCGTGGACATAAGTTTTTACACTTGTTATTTTGTGATATTTTTAAAATAAATAATATCCACATGTCAATTTCCTATTTTTTCAAATTTTAAAATTAAAAAGTCACATAATACTTATATTATATATGTAAAATATTAAATGTAATAAATGTGATAGTAATAAACGTTTCTTCTTTCCTTATTTCGCAATTTTATTTTAAAAAAACTTATTGTTTACACTTTGATATTTAATATTTGTTTTAATCGATCCGTGTAATACACGAGTTTTACACCTAGTTTAATAAAATAAAAAAAACTCATAAAATGACATGTGGAAAAAAAAATTAATTCAAAATAACTACAAAATAACATTTGACAAATTAAATGAGACAAGTGACAAAAAAAAATCTTTATTTATTAGAATGGATTGATGGATACATGACATAGTTGAAAATATAGTAGTACATGTAAGCCACTTTTGCTATTTAAAAATTCAACTTTTGTATCGTCCTTATTAGTCAACCTTTTTAATATTTGTTATAATAATAAATCTATTTTTTTATGTTTTTAAAAAGTTCAATGTATATTTGATAAATAATAAGTTTTTTCTTTCATTGGTAATGGATATAAATTGTTGATCAATTATATTATAAAATTTATGGATCGATAAAATAGTGAATCACCATCAATTTATGTATGTGTCTTGTTAATATGAACAAATGATCAACAGCAATATGTTTCATAAAAGGAAATATTTATATTGTTATTTATATATTTTTTCTTTAGTTTTTTATATTTTAAATTTTAAGGTAATTAATATGAATGTATTTATTCATGTTTTAACGTTCGAGTTTTCTGATTATGTTATTTGGAGGTAATTTCTATATAGCATTACAAAAAAATTTGAAACTAGATTTATCATTGACTTCAAATTTATGATTATTTATTATGATTCGAATTTTTTGATTAAAACTTTCTTATTGATGTATAACATTAATTTTACACAACTACACTCATTTGGTATATATTATTAAGAAGATAAGAATACGAATAAGAATCAATAGTGGAGTCAAGTGGCTCTTGGTAAGTTATAAAAGGGAAGTGTATTAAACCATGAAGGGGCATCTTCTTTATTTAACAATTCTGGCAATAACTTATTTTTATATCCCAAATTGATGTATTATCATATCAGGAATTGAGTCACTTTATCCGTTAGGTATATCATTTTTTGCAATCAATCAAATATTATTAAATAAATTTAATTGATAACAAAATCATTGAACTATATTAGGATTCTTAACCAAATCAATCCATCCCTACTTAAACTTTTTATATTACATCGAAGAAAGCCAAATAGCTATTGTTGAATCAAATGGAACAAAGAAGTAATAAGCTAATTGAGAAATGTAGGTTCTCAAGGTCTCATTGTCTCTCACTTGATGAATGCTGATGACGTCATCTTTTTAGGGGAGTGGTCGATTTGTAATGCCAATAATTTGATAAGTTTGTTGTAAATTGGTGGGTATTGGAGTTTCTGATGGTGAGGTTATGGTAATGGCGCATATGTTGGGTTGTGGTGTTTCTACTTCGCTTTTTGTTATCTAGGTGTTTTGGTTGGCTGTAATATGTCGCGTATTGCTAATTGGAAGGTGTTGTTAGTAAATTCAGTAAGAAGCACTCAAATTGGAAAGCTAATTGTATCTTTATTGGTGGTAGACTGACTCTTATTAAAACTATTCTCGGGAATGTTCCTATATATTATGCCGATGTATAGAATGTCGAGTTCTGTGAGAAAGTGTTGTAGTTTATGAGGAATAATTTTTTCATCGGTGGAGATGCGGGCGATAGAAAAATGTTTATTTATAGGTTAGTGTTATTCCTATATTTATGGGATTGATGGTCGTATTAGTAAAAGAGTGGTTCTCAGGTCTTCGCCAAGTCCTTGGAATGCGATTCTGTTGGATTAGGTGTCTAAGCCAATAACTAAATTTGTATATACTTGAATTATTAGCAAAGTCCCTTTGGGTTGCCCTCAAACCTAATAATTGAATATTATGACTTTTGGAGAGAGATGCTGATTTATTAATTTATTTTATGAATAACAAATAGCAATAAATGATTTATTAATATATTATAAGAATAATATATTAATTAGAAATAGTATTATTTAATTAATAATTAATCAGAAATTAATTGAAAATTAATTTTGGGATTATTTGGATTAATTAAAAGTTCAAGGACTAAAGTTGTAATTGTTCAATAGTTGAACAAGAGAAGTTCCAGAACCTTCCATGGGTTATGGACGGTTTTTAGGGATTATTTAAGGATTTTAGATTAATCCTTAAAGATAATTAAGGAGTTGGATAATTACCAAATTTGAAATAATAATATTATATTCAAATTAGGGTTTCCAAGGCTCCTTGTATCAACTATAAATAGGGTCTTTTGGCATCACATTTTCGGCCATCACTTCTACCAAGAGAATAGCCGAACATCATATCCCCTCTCCTCTCTCTTCAAGTCTCCTTAGTTGCTAGGGTTTAGGTGTGAACCATCAGAGGCACAAGATTTCTGGTACTTGCTTCCAAGAGCTTTTGAAAAAAGATTTCATTGGTTATTTACAAGAATAATCAAAAGATATGTAAATCCTAACCCTCTTATGAATTTCGATTCAAGTAGGGTTTCTATAGGGTTCTTTGATGTTCATAAATTATAGCATCCAATAATAAAAACATATATCTAATTACGTTGCATGTGAACTTAAGAGTTAAGTTATTTTCTGTCACTTGAATTTTTGTAACCTATAAAACCTATCAGTGGTATTAGAGTCCAATGTTTTCAATTGAATATGCATAATAATTGAATAGATCAAATTACTTATTCATCATTTCGTTTGTATTTATTTCAAAATATTATTTTAAATAATGTTTAATGTTTATACATTGATATTTAACTTTTGTTTTAATCAACACGTGTAGTACATATGTCTAACACCTAGTTACTTACAATATGAAAATCAAGCAACATTGAAGTTCATTTAGTGAAATATTGATAGAATCTAAAGTAGACACTAAAACAAACACAATTTCATCAGTAGGTTTCGGATTTGATACAAATCCTCAAACCCTAGGTTGTTAGACGAAGAAAAAGAGGAAGATTTTCCTTAAATGAATTTGGGCCATAACCTTTAAATGATCCTACAAAGTCAATCCATTGTTAAAAATAAGCTTTTGAAAAATGTTTTTAATGGAGATAGATATTTAAAGATATTCTTGACAAAAATAATAAGTTATAAATATAATTAAATATTGTAGATTTTCTTAGGATTAATATATGACAAGTATTGCAATCAATTCGATTTTAAACTTTATTTGACAAAATCGCTAGCCTTGCTAAAAGCTTTATTTATTAAGTGGGTGTTTGGCACAGAGCTTTTGGAAGCGTTTGGGAGCTTCTAGCTTTTAACTTTTGACAAAGCGTTCTAGTTTAAACAAAAAGTTTCGTTTGGCAGTACGAGCGTTTAGCTTTTAGTTTAAACAAAACGCTCTAAATCTAAAAGCTACTTCATATAGCATTTAGGGCGTGTTCGGCAAAACTAGCTGGTAGCGGGTAACTTGTAGGGGGTAGCTTGTAGCTTGTAGCGTTTTGTTAAACGCTACATGAAGTAGCATTTGGATTTGGAGTGTTTTGTTTAAACTAAATGCTAGAAGCTTGTAGTGCTGAACGAGACTTTCTGTTCAAAACGGAGCGTTTTTTCAAACGCTATATGCTAGAAGCTCTCAAACGCTTCGTGTTGAACACGCCATTAACAAAACGCTACTGGGCTTTTGAAATCAATTTCCATAATTACTCTTAAAAATATATTTATATATTTATTTATTTATAATCAATTGTCTTTTTATGTAATTTTATATATTTCAAACGCTTCCAGCTACACGTTAACAGCTATCAGCTTCCAGCTAACAACTACTTTTGCCAAACACGTCCTAAGTGAAAGTGAAACGTCTTGTCAAATTGAAACTAACGTCCTAAGTGAAAGTGAAGCGTCTTGTCAAATTGAAACTAACTTCTTCTTTGGCATTTTTATTTATTATTAGTTGCATTTTAAACACTTTATTCATATTCTAAAATGGAAGTAAGTATATTGGATGAACTAAAGCATATAGTTTAATTAGTAAATATTTTACCATAATCCAAATACTTAAAATAATTTAAAAATATGTGGGCTTTTATATGAAAATCAAACCAGTTAATTGTAACTAAAATTCAAAATATAAATAATATACAAAAAACCTTATAAAAATGTTATTATACGTAAAAATAAAGTATGCATAATATTTTGTCATAGATTTACGTATTTATATTACAAAACTTACATATCATACTTTACAGAATTATCCAATTGTATCTGTACCAACGTCATCAAAATAAAAAATAAAAATCACTTATTTAATTGAGTGAAAATTTCGAATTATAATGTTATAAAAAAATTGATAGTACCCTATTATAAGGGTCAATGACGTTTTAAAATATAATTATCCCTAAAAGGAAAAATAAAAAAAAACATGGTGTAATGGTTCGAAATTATACTGACTAGTTGATGTTAAGTTCGTGTCTTTCGACGTATCAACTTTTTTACGTGACAAAAAGCAAACACGCATCTTTGGTTGGGGTTGTGGCTGACTTTTATTTGACGTGATTTGAAGTTAACGGCTCTAGAAGCAACCATGCCAGGTCAAACGCAACACGTGGACACAAGCGTTTGATGTCCGTTAAAAGGTTAATGGAATTTGGAAGTAACAAAACGGAAACGGCTCTTCCTTACTGTTATGGGCAATGGGCACTGTCGACGTCCACCGTTTCTCTATATATACCCCGAAGCGTTTCTCTTATCCATTCATCAACCAAACCAGGTCTCCCATAAGAGACACATTAACGAGTTTTCATCCTCGAAATTTCTCCTTCGGATCAGTCTCTTCTTGTTTGCAGAAATGGCTAGTGCTAAGCTTATCTCATCTTTCATCGCCAGGTAATTTTGTGTTACATACATTTAACTGATTCTTTTCTCTCTGTTTGAGATTTGATATGGAGATTAAGTATCTGATTATGTTTTTTGATGATCTTAACAGACGTGGATTTGCAATGGTAACACAGGGGAGCGTTTCCGGAAGCGTGAGGGGAAGTGGAGCTGCAGTGATGCAGAAAGGGGCTGATGACTCAAAAAAATCGACTACTCCATGGGTTCCAGATCCAGTTACAGGTTACTACAAGCCAGAGGGACAAACAAACCAGGTTGACGCCGCTGAGCTCCGTGAACAGCTGTTGAAGCACAAAACTCGTGGACAGTAAAGCAAACTCATTGAAAAACTAATGCATGAAACTAAAATTAAGACGCAGATGAATTTAAGAGGAAGATGACATACATCACCGATCACAACAAATGATGTTGTGTTTGCTGTTCACTAACAATCAAAGATTCTAGATGGAATGTTGTGTCATCGTTCTCTGTTTCTTGTCCATATCATTAATGTTAATAATTAAAATCCTTTTTTTTTTAATAATATTAAAGTTTTAGTTTAATAGGTGTTATGATGCTTATTTCGTGAGTTTCTTTTCTTTTCCAGGTTTTCGGCTTTAAAGAAAAAGTATATGCATGAAATTTATTTAGCAAAGATATCAAAGAATAGTTTTGTCGACAAATTAAAAAAGAATAATCTTTTTAATTGATCCATTCCACCCATTATAGCTTCAAGTTCAACTATATAACTCAACTAAAAAGAATCCCACCAGAACAAGTTTATTCCTTCAATTCTTTCGTAATCAGTAATTTAATGGTATCACGTAAAGCCTTTCAAGCCACCTTCTTTCATAAGTGGTTGAAATTGCCTATATGCTATATTTCTTTTAATTAATATTACTTGTAAATTGCTATAAATGTATTTAGTTGTAACTTGTGCATGAATACAATAGTTAATATGTATTAAATAAAGTCAACTATATAAAATAGATAACATATAAGAAAGTCAACTATATAAAATAGATAACATCTATGGTATAGGTCACCGTGGATGTTATAAAAATAAGAGACCATACCATATTTATCATATTTTTGCATTGTCTAGTTATCTTTTTTCTCATCCCACAAAACTAGTGGGGTCATACATTACTTTATCATTTTTTTAATTTTAAATATATGTAAATAATATATCAATATTATCCTTTATTTGTACGGAATTAAAAATCATTATTTTTTATATATATTTTATAATTTTTAATATATAGTATGATTTAATAATGATTAAAAAAGAATGAAAAAGAAAAAAAAAAGGAAAAAAGGTGCGGCAAAACCATGACTCGCAGCAAACATGGTAAAATGTATATTTTTCCAATGTTATAAAAATCGGTTCGAACTAGCCGGTTGAATCCGTCGAACTAGAAACCGGAGTTGAAAACGGTTCAACAATAATCGATTTTATGTCAATTTCTAAATTGATCCATCCAAACAGTTTCTTCAAAAACTAGATTGAACCACTGTGATAAAAACTGGTAAATAATCGTTTAAACCGGTTTATTGAACTTGGATGGTTGGATTTCACTTAGCCCTTTAAAAAAACACTCCAATATTTCCAAAGCAAATTGAATAAGATGATTCATCAGGTTATCCAGATTGTTTACCGCACACCACATTATACCGTAGTGTGGGGTACACTGGGCACCGTGTAGTCTAAAATGTATATTTTTCCAATGTTATAAAAATCGGTTCGAACTAGCCGGTTGAATCCGTCGAACTGGAAAACGGAGTTGAAAACGGTTCAACAATAATCGATTTTATGTCAATTTCTAAATTGATCCATCCAAACAGTTTCTTCAAAAACTAGATTGAACCACTGTGATAAAAACTGGTAAATAATCGTTTAAACCGGTTTATTGAACTTGGATGGTTGGATTTCATTTAGCCCTTTAAAAAACACTCCAATATTTCCAAAGCAAATTGAATAAGATGATTCATCCGGTTATCCAGATTGTACACAACTCGAAGACCAACATACACCACTGTCAAATATAAAACGACGGTCGAACCGACACACACCACTGTCAAATATTAAAGTGGTTTTTTCAATTGCTACTTATGAAATTGAAATGGGAATTAAATGGAAGTGGAAGTGAAGTGACACTAATTTCAAACGAGACAAGGTGTATTCTAACCTTAATATTTAACTGTTATGGGTTCTAATATTAATTGTTATATGTGTTATAATCTACTAACTTATAATCCATTAATTATGTGTATGATCAAGTTGTAGCAGTTAAAGAAAGAGTACTACAATGTGAGCATATACAATATGTTAGATATATTTGTGCCAACTTCAAGAAAAGTTCAAAGGTGTCCAATATAAGAAGCTTTTGGATTGATGCAAATACCTCAACTAAACAAAAATTTACAATCACACAAAATAATTTGATTGACACACTAACTTATGATCATTTGATGGTAAGAGACCTAAAAACATGGTCACTATCTTTTTTTAAGAGGATAGGTGTTGTGATGTCAATGAGAATTGTATTTCGGAATCATTCATTGTAGCAATTTCAAATGCTATGAAGAAACCCATAACAATGTTGGAAGCAAATAAGATGTTTGTGATGGATATGCTATTTTATCAATTGAAAAAATGGACATAATTAGGACTTGATTATATGTCCCTTATTTACAGGGAATGCTTAAAAACTAAAGCAATAATAGCGATATATGAATTTGAATTTGTATGTAATTTATTTCGAAATACATACTTGCCTTTAAATTTTAATTCTTCACATGTATTATGGAGCAACTCTAAGTGGGCTGCAACAATATGAAGTCATACTACTACTGACACTTTATGGTGTTGACTTGAGCACAAAAAGTTATGCATGTAGATTGTGGTAGCTAAATGTATACATGTCATTGCCACAATATATTATCTGAATTAGAATGTAGAGGAATAAGTTGTAGTCTAATTCACTACACACATGTTTGAAAGTTGATAGTAAATCCCCTTAATGGATGTGATATGTGGCCACCAATTGAATTGAATGCACTCATATTACTACGGGAGAGTTATAAAACGCAACATGTATAAACATACATGACAAAACCTGAGGTTGAGGTACCTTATATAATTAGATGAGGTGTTTAATGAAATTGAGGAACTTGATGCACTTGAGGATTCTAAAGATGAAGAAAATGTAGTAGATGGACACCTCCTCCATAATAGATGTCCTCTCTTCCATCCACATTTGTCTTTTCCTTCCCACTCCTCCTCATATCCATAATTTCAGTCGTCGACGTCCATCTCAACCCTAATCCTTACCCTTGTGATACGAAGAGTATAACACACATAAACGATGAAGGGCGTAATTTTCTCACCCCGTCCTATTACTTGGAAACATCTTCTTTGATCTTAATTTATATCATTGTAAATTGAGAACCCTTTTGTGTTTCATATCACAAATTTGAGGATTATATTCATTTATGTATCCACTTGGAAAATAGCTCAAGAAGGAGTTATTGGCGTTCGATAAGATTGTGTTTTTGAGTTGCTTGAGAATATCTATGATTTGGTGTGTAGTGGTTGATTAAAGTTTGCGGATTTTGGTTTGGTTGTTAGAGATGGTGGTGGTGGTTTATTAGTTTTGGTCCCCAGAAGTTTATTAAAAGAAGACAAAACTACAAAAATGGTCTTGTGGTATGCATTTTTTGCGAGGCTTAGTTCAAACCTCGACTTTTTTGGCTCTATGGTCCTTTTGAGCTAGTTTATTTGCGTATTGGTCCCTCGGTAAATTGAAAAAACTATTATACCCTTCTGATATATTTTTTTTATGCTTTTTCTATTTAATTTAAATGAAAAAGAAAATAATTAATTAATTTGGGCCCACATCTCTCTCTCTCTCTCTCTCTCTCTCTCTCTCTCTCTCTCTCTCTCTCTCTCTCTCTCTCTCTCTCTCTCTCTCTCTCTCTCTCTAGCTCTCTCTCTCTCTCTCTCTCTCTCTCTCTCTCTCTCTCTCTCTCTCTCTCAAATCCACCGCCGATACAAACCTTGTTCATAATCCATTTCAACATCAGATTCCAACATCAGAGATCCGAATTCTTTCTTGCAAACAATCGATTCCTTTGATTTCTCCATTCTCAAACAAACGATTCTCACTTTTTTCTTGTAACTTGGATTAACCCACAAACTTATAGATCTTCACCCACTTTCACTATTAACACAAACACACACACACACACACACACCCACACACATACACAAGATCAAGATATACATCCGACAACGATTCACCAGAAGAGTGCAGGTTCGATGATAGTGGGTTGAGGTCCAGTGATTTCCGACGGATGTTGAGAAGACCTAGTTTAGTGGCTATCAAAATCAATGTTGCAAAGAAACATTAGTGATGAAAGAGGAGACGATAAACAACAATCAATTCGGCTGCTCAAGGTTATACCCATGATTCACTTTATTTAAATGACAATTAATGCATAAACATCGTCGACATATAGGCTATACACAAAAACCCATTCGAATGGTAATATACATAAATTAAAGGAGAGAAAGAGGAATCGTAAGAGAAGGAAAAAAAAGAGAACGGGTGAGCCGATAAAGGGGGAAAAATCAAGAGGGGGTGTTGTAGGGAGAGATAAACTCACAGAGGAGAGTAGGTGATTGTTGTTGTGCACCTTTCTTCTTATCTATACAAATTCTTGAATTGCATATTGAAAACGATGATGGTGGTGTTAGTGGTGGTTTATATGGTAGGGTGTTTTTCATCACAACTAGAGAATCCTCCCCTAATTCGTAATAGGTGTAGGTATTGGGGTCGAAGTGCAAATCGACGGTGGTCGGAGTGCACATTAATCTGATAAACTTTTAGACCGCCAGTGCCATTGATTCACAGTTAGGTGGGTGATTGTTGTTGAGCAAGGTAAGAAAATGGTGAAGGAAGGGTAGATCTCTGCTAATGGTGTCTGATAATGGTGAAGGAAGGGTAGATCTAGTGAATGGGGTCTGATAATGGTGAAGGAAGGGTAGATCTCTGCTTCACAATTTTTTTTACACAAATTGGATTGTCTGCTTCAGTCAAAATAAATTTGTCGACACCGGAAACGTCTCAGGCTAGTGGGAAGAGTCAACACACGCAAATATTTTGACATTTCAAAGAGAAGTTGGAAGCTTAAAGAGTGGGAAAATTGTGCTTTGGAAATCGTCAAAGTGGAGGTAACATGAAATTATTAAAGTGTTTGTGTGTGTATTTTGAGAGAGGGAGAGAGAGGTGGGCCTTTTGTATATTTAATAATTATAAAATATTTAATAAAAATAAATAAAAACAAAAAATAAATATACCAAGGGTATAATAGTCTTTTCATTTTACCGAGGGACAAAAAAACGCAAAGAAACTAGGTTAAAAGGACCACGAAGCCAAAAAAATCGAGGTTTGGACTCAATCTCGGAAAAAATGCATACCACAATGACTATTTTTTCAGTTTTGTCTTAAAAGAATAAATTATAGTTTTGGTCCCTAAAGTTTATTAGTTTCATGTTTTTGTCCAATAAAATTAATTTTGGAGAAAAAAATATGTTTACATTTCATGTGCATGTCATATGAGCATCATGTGTACGAATGTAGTTAGAATTAGCTTGCGTCGCATGTCACGTAGGGCAGTAGTATGTTGAACCTGCTATTGCTTGTAGGGGTGTTCGTTTGGATGGATCGGTTTGATCCGATCCAATCAAGTAAATCCAAATTGATTTCGGTTTTCAAAACATGGATTCAAATAGTCCAAACTAAATTCAAATCTGATCCGATCCGATCCAATTACAATTCGGTTGGATCGGTTTTTATAATTCGGTTTTCAAAAACCAAACATTTTTAAACGACATATAATTATAATATTATCCAACTTTACACAAGAAACGAAAACAAATTATTTAGTTGTATGTGAATTTTATAAACAACTACTAAGAAGATATATTATACTTAAATAATTTATAGATATAAAACTTTTGAGAGAAAATGCATATTAATGTTTTTTTATCGGGTGAAACGTTTTGAACCTATTTGAAAAAATAAATTACAAAATTAATAAATGATTATAGATATATATTATAAATAAATAAATAATAATAAATGTTTATTCGGTTTTTTTTGGACTATTCGGTTCTTATTATATAAACCAAAACCAATCCGAAATCCAAAATAATAATTTGGTTTTGTTGAAAACCAATCTAAAAATCCGAATATCTGAACCAAATAGTCTGATCCAAATTGTCAAATTGGACAATTCAGTTTTATCCAAATAGTGAACATCCCTAATTGCTTGTGTCAATTGTTAAATTGTGGTAAAAATGAAAGTTTAAGAGCTTAATTACTATACTTAGAAATTTAGTGGCAAAATAATGACAATTTTAATACTTCGATGGTTAATAAAATCGAGAACTCCAAAATTTGTGTGAAATAATACTCCCTCTGTCCCATATTAATAGTTCATGTTTCTTTTTTGGTTTGTTTCAAAATAATAGTCTACTTCTAAAAATAAATATATTTTTTTCCAAAATACCATTATTATTAATTAACCTACCATGGAATTAAATGCAACAAAGGGATATAATTAAATACAACAAAATGATACAATTGTCATTTCATTTAATAAAGTTAATGGTAATTAATATTTTTCTTACTCTGTGTGGTTTTTTGTTTGTAGACAATAATTTTGAGACGGAAAGAGTATACTTTTTATGTTTTTCTAATTTTAGTTGATTGAACATTGTTAATGAAACTTTTAACGCATTCATAGTATTATTTATCCATACGGTGTCAATAATGGAATTTAGAAGTTTCACATCTTATTCTCAATTCTCACACACCACAATTATAAACGAAGCATCTGGAGGACATGAATCTAAAAGAATCAATAAGAAAAAAAAATCATTTTGTCGACATATAACAACCATGTATTATTTTGCATTTTATGTGTCGGAGGTTCTTGATTAAATAATAAAGCAATAATATGTTCATCAAGACATACGCCAAAACAGATATTTTTTTTATATGTATGATTTATTTATTTCTTTAATTGTTTAGATGCCCAGTACTTTTCCTATTTAATTTCAAAATACGAAAACACAAACAACTCATAAAATAACAAACATAAATTATAAAACTAAGTTCCAAATTAAAAATAAACAAAATACATGACATATTAACCTAAGATGATCCGTTATACCCATCACTAACCATTACAGTGGCGAGTCACATTATCACCACAATACTACCATTAACAATGAGATATCTATCATTAAACACACCACTTCACCTTATTTTTAATTAAATTTAATTAAAAAATACAATAAAAATACAATAAGAACATATTTTTTTTAAACTGGTTTTTTATTCAATAAAAAAAACATGACCTTAATTTAAAAAACAACTTAAAATAAAATAGAAAAAAAAAACCATAACAATACAAACACAAACAACTTAAACTAGTTTTTTAAACCTCATTTTTTAAGTAATCCATTTTGGAGAATTTTTAAATTTTAGCCAAGTTTTGAGGTATGTAAACGGTCTATGGTTTGTCTTTATATTGATGAATGGCCACAAAACTATATTCCGTTGTTTATAACAGAGTTATAAATTCCGGCAAACTTATGACATTTTACCCTTATATCGCGATACTTGGAACATATTTCATAATTATTACGATTTTAACAACCCATTAAATTGTGGAAAATGTTTTGAACTCTTTCCCAAAAATCTCTAGACACACCACTACTTACGTCTTTTGAAACCGACACTCATGTTACTGCTAACTTTTCTTCTTCCTCCTCCGTTCTGCATTTTGGGAGCCATGGTTTTCGAAAGATCAAGAAACACAACTGTGTGATTGTGAGAGGAGAATTGTGTGAGATAGAAGAATGTGTATCGTGGTATTTATATGGTAGGTTTATAATGATTTTTTATTTAGGTAAAAATTAAAAAAAATAAAAAATTATAAACTAACCGTTAGAAGCAGTAAACTGCAAATCAAATTCAATTGGCCGTTGCTCTCCGTTGTATGCAACACGAACGACCACGAACACGGAGGACCACGAATCATCGGGGTGGTGTGCACGACAGTTTTCCATAGTCACATAGACCGCGATGTATATCGTCCTCGGTATACCAGATGTATTTTTAATCCAAAATTTTAACATTTTACCAAACTCATTCAACTCGTTTGTTGGTCACCTTATCAAATACGTGTAAATAATTGTCGGGTTTGCTACTTTTTTTTACTTCGAATTCAGGTCTTCCATTTTTTACACACACGTAGACGTAATGCAAATGACGTTTACCAAACACAAGTGGTGTAATTGCTTATGGCCCCATACACACATTTCAATGCAAGTTCGTAGAATCTTTCCGCCGCCACCAAATTCCTTCCCCCGCACCAAGTTGCTTCTCCGATTCCCCACAGCAGATATCAGCAACAAAAGGACCAAACAATATAATAATAATAATAATAAATTAAATAACAATACATTTATATCTTGGTTTGGTTGCAAGTCGTAACTTGTAATAATATATTTCTATTTAAAGTAGGAAATCTTTTGTGAAAAAATTATAGAGCACTTGAAAACACAAGTTTAAGGTTTTAGTTACCACGTATTTATACACAATTTGTTTTTTTTTATATTTTTGGTTTCTAAGTACAATAGGTTATGCACAGTACTAATCTTGTTGTAAAAAACTTTAGAGCATACGTTGACCAAAAACTTTGTAAACTCAAAATAATTAATGAGTCGTTGCCCGTTTGGCGTTAAAAAAGAATACGCCTCTTCGCCCGCGTTATGGACGCCAGGTGTCAGGCACTACTTGACCCTTTCCAATTTCTTCCACTCTATATAATCACCCATGTCTTGTCTTCTGAATTCATCAATCACTTCTTCTTCTTCACAAAAACCTTTCCTTCCCGAAGTTTCTCTACTCCGGCGATTCAACTCAGTCTAATTTTCGCAGATCCGTAGTCAGTGGAATGGCGAACGCCAAGCTTATCTCATCCTTGATCGTTGATCAACTCTCTGTTGTTGCCAGGTAATTTTGCTTTACCATTGAATCATCTCTGTTTGAGTGAGCTTTATTAATTTGTAGAAAACTTTTTTGAGATTAAAAACTTTGGAGATCTAATCAGTATGTTTTGAATGATTTTAACAGACGTGGATTCGCGACCGCAACACAGGGGAGTGTATCTGGAACCTTGAGAGGAAGTGGAGTTGGAATGATGAAGAAAGGAGGCGAGGAATCGAAGAAATCGACTCCATGGGTTCCAGATCCCGTTACAGGCTACTACAAGCCAGAAAGCCAAATAAACCAGGTTGACGCCGCTGAGCTCCGTGAACTACTGTCAAAACAGAAAAATCGTCGACACTAAAATTAAAGCCATTGAAAATGGATTTGTAAGTTGCAAGATGAAGATGAGTGAAGTTGATTAATACCATTCATCCGAAAACACATAGCACCGTTGTTTAGAAACTTATTGATTTTGTTCAGCAGCAATGAAGGATTTGTTTTTCATTTGGCCGGTCAATATTATTGTTACTAAGATAGGAATCATTCCATTAATAAAAAAATATACGTTAAATACTAGTAAACGCATTCGTGTTGGAAGTAGGCTACTTCTTATTCCACTGAACTTGAAACATTTATCTATTTCGTGTACTCTGTACCTGTATAATCTCTGCCAGTGTTTGTTTTGGGGAATCCGACGTCTATTAGGTGTTTTGTTGTGATATTGACACAATTTGCTTCTATCGGAATATTTCATTTTTACATGATGTATCATTCTTACAACTATTTTTATTGGTAACAAATTAATAGTGTTAATGAACTGTAAAAAAAATTGATTAGGATTATATTGTTAATGAACTGTAATGTGTTAGAAATTGGATAGGGTTTATAGTGGAGATACCATTGGATCATGTAAACACTTTCCGAACTCATATTTCTACCTTATGCCCGGGTTACAAGAATTTCAGCAGAGGATAATCCCAAGGGGACACTAACGATTCTAGACATAGAAAACGTAAGTCAAATTACTAGATAATTTTGAGTTCGTATGAAGAAAAACGAGAGCTAAAGAGTACCCCTTCAAGGAGAAGAGCCGTTTATATAGAAAACGAGATGTAGGCTTTCGTTTTTAGGGTTGGCCGTCATCGGTTTCTTTGGAAACAAATCAAGTAAATCCGGAATTAATGAGTAAATCAATAATTTTCAAAACTGACGATCTTAGTCAGTTTTACC